GGGAGTACTAAGGAAGAATAGAGGTACTTAGGATTAGATAGAGGGGAATGAAAGGAGGGGAGGGGTTAAGGGGTAAACAGGATACTAGAATGAATTGGACATTATTACCCTGTGTCCATATATGATTGCATGACCAGTATAACTCTACATCGTGTACAACTAGAAGAATGAGAACTTATATTCCATTTATATATAATGTGTCAAATGCATTCTACTGTCATGTATAACTAATTAGAAAAACAAAACAAAACAACAACAAAAGACTGGTTCATCTTAGACCAGGAATACTATTTAGAGGAAGAAAATTAATCGAATATTACAAACCTTAATAAGCTTTTCATTAAAACATAAAACAATAATAACAGTGTCTCTAGAATAGACTTCATCACTTAGTAGAGAGCAAATATTTCTTGGAATAATAAAGCAGTAAAATTAAGTTATATCAGCCTTTCTCAAGGATATGACCCTTGCCTTGCTCAATTTGATATGAATTATAGAATAGGCATAATATCTTATACAAAAGTAACACTAAAGGATATCTATTAAATAAAAAAGTATACTTTTTTAAAAACTATGTTAACATGAAATTGATACAATTTTAATTTGAGATGAAATGATTGCAAAATAATTTCTTGTCTATGAAAAGATAAATAGGAGCACTGTGTTCTTTTTACTGAAATACAGTTAATGTGTCCCATAACCAGGTTTCCGTGAAAGATGAATCACATATATGATGGTGGTCCCATAACATTATATTGCCCAGTGACATCATAGCCAGTTTAGTTTGTACAAGTACACACATGATGTTAGCACAATGATAAAATCATAAAATGACACATCTCTCTGTATCTCCATCATTAAATGATGCATGATCAAACTACATCAAATCATAAAACTATATTATAAATAAACTATTCTAAAACCAACTGTTAATAAAATGCATACATCAAATTTAAGGGAATATATATAATTTGTAAGATTATGCTTCACTCTGAAAGTGAAGTAAAGAGAAAGAAAAAAAATTAAAGATAAATAAAGATATAGTTCTTTTGGAAAAAATGGTTGAGTTCCATATGAGAATAATCTACGATTCTATTTCCAAAAGGAAAAAAATATTTATTTTTGATAATTATACTCTTGCAGATTTAATTTATTTGAGAAGGTCTTGATTCTCTCCTCATTTTTGAAAGACAACTTTTCTGGATATAGAATTTTTGCTTTGACAGCTTATCATATTTTGAATATGTCATTCCACAGCCCTCTGCACCCCACTGTTTGTAATAAAAAATAGCCATTAATAATATTGAGTATTTATTTTATATGATGATAGGTTTCCCTCTCAGTGCTTTTAAAATTCTTTTTCTTTGGCTTTGGACCATTTAACCATGGTTTACTGATGGATTTGTTTGAGTTTCTTCTACTTATGTTTGTTGAACTTCCTAAATATGTGTTTTAATGTCTCATCAAATTTGGAAAATTTATATGCATTAATTTTTTCGAATTTTATTCAGATCCTTCTGGCCTCTATTTCCTGCTACTCCCATTATACCTGTGCTGTTCCTCCAAGTATCTTATTTTTTTACTTTTCCTCATTATTTTTCCTTTCACTTTCTCTAATTGGATCTCAATGGTTCCATCTTTCAGTTTATTGATTTTTCTTTCACCATAATCTGCTGATAAGCCCCTGTAATATATTTTTATTTCAGTTTTGATATATTTCAACTCTAATTTCTTTTTTAAGTATTTTCTATGTCTTTACTGACATGTTGAATTAGAAGAAACATCAATCTTATACTTTTTTTCAGTTCTTTGGGCACATTTTATTTTAGTTCTTTGAACATATTTTAAATTGCTAATTAAAGCCCTTATCTAATATGTCAAATATCTGGGAATCCTCAATATAATTATATTGGTGGATTTCATCTTGTGTATTGATAAAATTTACTTATTTATTTACATGTCTCATGATTTTGTACTGAAATCCAAGCACATCAAATAATACAATGTGTCAATTCTGCAAGTTATATTCTCCCCTTATTGCAGGGCTCATTTTTGTTTGCTTATTTAACAACATCACTAAACTAATTCTGTAAAACCTGTATTCTTTATCATGTGTAGCCATCAAAGTTGTTGTGCAATTTTATTAGCAGTTAATTGTTGGACAGATATTGAAAACAAAACAAAAAACCTCAGACCAATAAGTGTCCTCATCTTTGCCAGAGTATGTTTTTCAATTTTCTCATGACTTTTACTGAGGAAAAGAGCTGGGAAGCTCTTACTCCACAATTTTTGTTATTATCATTCACCTAGGATTATGTTGCTTATCTAATCATACTTGACACAAGCTACTCAAAATATGTTAAAAAAAAAATATATATATATATATATATATATATATATACACACACACACACACACAGAGATATACATATATATCATTATAATTGTATTCACTGCAAACACTCATTTTCTTTAAATTTCCATTATCTCACATTTAAATAACATTTAAAAACAAATATAATGTGTAGATACCACACATCTTCCTCTCAGTTTGAAAACTATATACCATTCAACTCTTCTAAATTAACTAGTCTTTCTTCACTATTAACATCAGATATGTCCAAGGAAACATCATGCATAAAAGGTTACAACAATCTTTAAAAAGATACATATTGTTTAAAAGACTGTAAAACAAAAACAGCACCAATCCAACAATTAGGAAAAAAAAGAAAGAAAAACAAAACACACAGTAGTTGCAATGTTTGGAAAAAACTGAGCACTTATACAGAAGAATTTTATTTTTATAAACAAATCATTTACAAAATTGCATAATGTCCCCGCAAATTCCTAGTTGCAAGTGCAACCATACCAACGTACTTTAACTCTCATAGGTACAGTCTGTAAAAGCTTTTTTTGAGTAACTTCTGAGTGGAAACATGAGAAAAACAGAAAACTAAATTCAAAGAGAATATGTCATATTTCTAAAAAATTCTAAAAAAAATAATTTTTAACATGTCAGCCATCTTATTAGAAAAAGCATTTAAAATACATATTCAGTAAAATATTTTTGACATATAAAAGTATGGAGTACAAAAATACATCGTTAAGTACTTATTGATCATTGTTAGCCAGCATCTCTTTCTATAGGGGTGATGAAAATGAAAACAAACAAACAAAAAAAAAAAAAAAACGGAAAGAACTCAAGAACAGGCAATAAGAAAAAAAGGAAAGTTTACAAGAAAGTTTTAAAAAAGGAAGATCCTTAATGTAATATATACCATTAAGTTGACACTGACTATATCTGGATCACACATTTTTTTCTTTAGTTGCATAAAAAGTTCTTATACCTTAACACTCTACTAGTATTAACTTTTTCCATCAAAATTCTAAATGCAACCATAACTTTGTTGCAAAAGTAGGGATTGAACACAGGACCCTGTACATGTCAGGCAAGCTTTATACCACTGAATTAACATCCCCAGAACATAACTATAATTTTTAACAAGAGAAAAGAAATTCCAGATTAATGAAATAAAAAGAACACATATTGAATAGATGTTAACATATAATTATGAGTTAAAACAATACTACTTGTTTTAGTTCCATAAAAATTTTCTTAGTACTGATAAGTATACCTTAGGACTGATTAGTATACCTGATTTTCTCAGTGATTTGAAAAACAAAAGTAAACAGTTTGGGCTCTTGGTATTGATATTTGAAGGTTGGTTACATTCCCTTACTTAAATTAAAATTAACCTTCCACATCATGTAAAATAATTTTAGTGTATATAATTTTTAAAGCTGATTGCATATATATTATAGTAAAAGTTTTAAATGTTCAAATTGTTTAAATGTTTTTCTTTAAATGAGGATTAAAAAATGTTATTTGTCTTTGTGATAACAGTTTGTTAGATTGTAACTACAGATAGCAAATGTTAAAATATTTAGTTATTAGTTAATACAAAGGTCTGTCTATATTGTTTTTAATGTAATATTCATGAAATAGATTTAATATTTTTAGTATAATATGATTTCATCTGATATTATTTTTCTTATGTTTTCATATTGTACCTAATAGTAAGGATATGTATTTAATTAAGCAGAAAAAAATAAAGTACTTAATATAATCTATGAAGAAAGATTGTTAGTATTAAAAATGTTATATGCATATACAAATATTATATACTAATATATGCTATTCTATATGATTTTTATATACCCAAAAAAGGAAGAAGAAAATTTCATTTTCCAATTAAAATTTTGTATTATTCCAAGTTTTACAGAGTAAATCTGTCAGATCTAACATACTCTGTCTGCTTACATTAAGAATTACAAAGAATTTACATACCAAGAAAAAATACTTTGAGATTTAAAAAGACTTTTCTAATTTCTTTTACACAAAATATTAATTTGTAATATGCACCAATGAAATAGAAAGCATTGTTAATTATAATAATCTTCCAATAAAACCATCTTTACTAAGCAATTTTCAGTAAAGAAAAATTCAAAATTGGAAAACAACCTCTGAATGCGGACCTAGCTGATAATCTGAAAAACATTTTAATTAATGGAATTTAGATGAATTTCCTATAGCATTTTCATTCCATAATTCTGCAAATGAAAAAAAAAATGGTTCCAGGTTTGATTTAACAATGATTTTATACATATTAAATTTTATTTCCTGTACATTATAACCATTATAAGGCAATTCAGCAGAAAATTAAGTCCATTTTATATATAAATTAATTTTAAAAATTTGTTACTTACTTCAGTGTTAAAATTTCCTGATGCTTGAACAACCTTTGTATCTTTTTATGGAGAAAAATACTAAGAGAGGAATATAATATAACTGATATTCATTGATTTGAAACTTCTTTCCCTATCACAATTCCCTTCTGTCTTAAGGAGCATATCCGGTGAATTTTCAACCTCCTGAGACTTTTAGCAATGATACATATGCATTTAGTTTAAGTTTAGGGGAAAATTTAATAAGATCTTACCCCATTTTTTGGAAAAGCAATCCATCCCAGGTCCCCCATAACAGTGCGTGAATCCAATAAATTCACTGAAAGAGAAATAACAAAAAGATGAGTGAAATATATAACAACAACAACAACAACATATCTGTATCTCTATTTTGATAGTGTTAGTATGGTGATGCATGCATACCCAAGATTACAGCAGCACAATTCATAATAGCCAAAGAATGGCACCAGCATAGGTGTCCATTAACACATGAATGGATAAAGATAATGTGGTACATACACACAATAGAGTTTTATTCAACCATAAAGAAAAAATGAAATGATGTCTTTTGCAGAAAAATGGATGGAACTAGAGACCATTATGTTAAGGAATAGGTCAAATTCAGAACGTCAAGGGTCATATATTTTCTCTCATATGTAGAAGCTAGAGAGGAAAAAGAAAATAATTCAAAGGGAGATAAGTAGAGGAAAGGAACCAAGGGGAGAAAACTGGGGAAGGAGCGGAGGACATGCTGGGGAGTGATATGGGCCAAAGTATATTGTTATAGTGTGTACATATATGAATATGTAAAAAAATCCCATCATTACATTAAAAACATGTAAAAAAGAAAAGAACAGAAAAACATACACATTTATTGTGTAACTGAAATTAGATTAAGCTTCCATTGTGATGACCACAAGAGGTATAGTTTGTAGAAAATGTCATTGGAATATACGAGAACAACTTATTTTCAATAAACAGAGAACATTTACAACAAAATATAAAAAGACACCATTACCTTAGATATTTTTTGCCAAATAAATGAAAAGTAGAAGATCAAATAATAAGAAAAAGAAAAAATAAATAAATAAATGCCCACAAAAACTATAGGACCATGTAGCTTGGCTAAAGGCACAATGTTTGGGGATTAAGCCACTACCATAAAATTGCAGCTAAATACACTTTATCTTCTTATGGAAAGTGCTTATGAAGCAATTAACAAATAATTTACATTATACAGCAATGAACTATTCCCAAGCTTATAACAGTGTGATATTATCTGAAATCTGTAATCCAAATTGCAAGTTTAATTAAGAAATAAATCTACACATCCTTAAACAAGACAAGAAAATGATAGGAGTTCTTGGGGTTGTTGCTATAGTTAAGAGTCCACTACATCCCTAAAGATGTCTTCTACTTAGATGTGACTAGAGTCTAAAATGTGCTTCATATAAAATTCTCTAATCTGTTATATCTGGAAAGCCTAAGATACTTAGGAATTCCAGAGTAGCAATCTAATATCATCATTATAAAGGAAGCCATGGGTGAGTATATATGCAGACATGAACACAAACTTACACACAGAGATACACACACACGTACATACATACATATCCACATATACACATAGTCCTTGTACGCTGTCCCTGGGAAATCTTACTAGTTTAAAGAGAATTATCTAATCAAAAGCTTTAGAATTGGGTCATAGTTCATTGTCTAAGTTATTATATTTATCTCATATGAATGCATTTGGCCCACTGTACAACTGACTAACTTTGCATGAACATGGCATATGAATCCAAAAGGGAACCACATGGGTTATTCCTGGTAAGAAGTACTGCAGTTTCATAAACCACATTCAAGAGCCAGAATCTTCAAAATATTGATTCTAAACAACAACAACAACAAAAATTCTATCTGCCAATATAAACCTGGGGAACAAAAGAAATTATAGTTGATGGACTGGAAAATTTGTTGTCACACTTTATAAAAGAATATAAGATAAAATCATGACTGAGAATATCATGATCAAAATTAAAACTGAAATTTTGTACATGCTATAAAATGTATACACAAATATTTAGTCTTTATTATGCATCATTTTATTACAGTAGCCCAAATTAGTGGGCAAAGCAGTATGTTCGTGAATGTAAATCTTAAAAACTAAGTTAAAATTCCATAATAATACTAGTAACATTAAAATTAATCAGTAATTTAGAATTCTAGAACACATAAAATATGCTAGTGTGGCGGAGGTTGTTATTGTTGTTCAATATATTTGTTTATCTCTATCACTACTTTTGAGTTCTTCAACTACAAAAAATATATACTAAATAATGTTTGTATCACTTTGGTGTACTCAAAACATATTGCCTTCATGGAACAATAAAATCATTTGTGGAATTACTAATTCCTTAAAAGAAAGATGTCCCAAATGAAAAACCACTGTTTATTACCACAAAAACAAAAGCAAATCAACCAGAATTATTCTACTACTCTCTGAAATTGCACATTCTATGAGTCAGGCCACTTCATATAATTTTTCAGTGAGATCCATATTTTTTCTTTTTGTTCTATTGTTGGTTTTTCAGCTCTCTATGGGAATAGGCTACATTAAACATAAATGTCCTTGTCCTCATTTTAGTTTTCTGGGACACTAGGGCTGTGTCTAGACATGACTAAGTACCAGGGGAGTGCAGAACCTAAATTGTTATGTTTATTCATTTTAATGATTCATTTGATTCATCTTTGATATTGAGCAGCAGTGTATCAGTGTAGATTAGATAAAGTAGAGCAAATCAGCAAACTAAGGGTGTTACTGTGACAGAAGTCAAATCAAATTTAATCCTGTGGTGGCAAATTAATGTGCATAGGAATTCCAGGAATTTGTAACTGGCCAGCCTGGTGAAACTACAAGTCTTATAAGTCTCTTAATAATATGTGAATTTGAAATATTCCCTATTACAAACAAATGTCTTTTTTAAATTCTTCCAAATGTCTTTTCAAAATTCTTTTATTGCCATCACTTGAATTAGCTTATAATCTACATGTTATTTTTATTTTATTTTATTTTTTTGGCTCAACACAGACAGGAAGTAAATCGATACTGAAATACACTACAAAATACATGAAAAAAACTAAAATAGAATTATATTCAATCTCATGATTTTATCAAAATGCTTTCTTGAGATAAATACATTAAATTTTTGTTCATAAAGTGCAGAATAAATGCTTTAGACCTGGAATAGTTCATCATATGTCTCAGAGAAAAATAATTAAAATTTATATATAAATTTAAATATATATTCATAACTTGCTATATATCACTTAACTATATTTAAATAAATATGTTTATTTATCTATTTATTACTTACTTATTTTACCTCTGGGCTTTGAACAAGACTCTTAAGCTTTCTCAAATGACCTCTCCCTTCTTGAATTGCTAACTTTTTTCCTTCAAGATGAATTTCAGGAATTACCATTTTCAGGAAGCCATCACTGATCCTCAGTTTCCTACTATAAGCTAGCTATTACTACTGAATACTCTATTGGAACTCCAGGTTTGACACATGTCCATGATCTTACTTTGAGCTCCAAGAGCTGAATGGCTATATTTGCCTTATGAATGAATCATCTGTTCAATGGGCAGATCAAGGGGGTGTGGCTGATTCAGCATGCACCTGTGTTTCTTGACATTGATATTTGATAACATCTGGAGAGGACTACAATCTAGGGGAGGGGAAAAGGTATTTCCCTACTAGCATTTAAGGGGAAGAAGCAAGGCATAAACCTAAACACTCTGCAATACACCACAAATTTACCAGGAAACAATTTTCTGACCCAAATTTCACTAGTCAAAAATTGAGAAGCCCTGGTATATACCTATTGATGCTACTAAAAAAAGGTCTATTCTTTCACCTTTTTTTTTTACAGTACAACATTAGCAGGATCTTCATTAACAGAAGGTACCATATTGGAAATATAAGACCCCAAATTTTTAAGAAAATAAAAGTAATAAACCCATTTTCATTTAGTAAAAAAAAAGTAATAAAACAATCTTAGTTTTATTTAGGGAAATAGAAAAACAGTATTTTAACCACATAATTATATATTAATTTTTCACAAAAGCAGTGCAGTTATTACAGGTGTTCTTATTTATTCATCAACATTTATGCTTCTCAACATTCATGATGGTGTATGGGAAAAACAGTCTGTCACTGATGTCATTAATGCCTCCATTTCCCCTACTAATTACATAATAAAAATAGAAAATAAAAATAAATATAAAATTAAAAATATGAAAATACAGTTACAAAAAATAATTTACAAGGTATATTTAAATGTGAATTTTCAAAACTTTATTTCCAAATTGTACTACCAAATTTATTCAAAAAAAGGGAATTGGCAGTAATAGAGTACAACCACTAAGTGTCTTCTGTGCTACAATTACAGTAATTAAATTGTTCTGAACAGTATATATGCTTGTTGTAAATTGCAATGAATACAAAATGAGTATTGATCTTCATTGTACAACTTAATTAAAACTTGTCAGGGCAAAGCAGCTAATGAATATAATTAGAGGAAATGTTTGATACCACAGTTACTCTGGAAGACATTAATTAGATACCAGAAATTTTATGGAAAAAGTTTTATTCTATTATTTATATTTTAAAATGGAGCCACATGATTAAACTGAGAGGCAGCCTTCAATGTCATTTTCCCTCAGCTATCTATCTTATAATCATGATGGAAATGGGTGTAATTGTTGGTATTCTAATCAGTAACTAAGAAGATTCATTTTCCAGAAAAAATAACTCTACAGGGGTCAGTGAGTATGGGCTATATTGCAAATTCCTAAAGTTTATATATAGGAGTGAAAAATTCACATAGGAACTGTGTTAATAAGTAAAAGTCATTTAACTATGGATGCAAACAAATAATAAATTGTAATGGAAACTAATTCTAGCTAATCATAAGTACGTTTTAATTTTGTTACTATACACTATTAATTTTAATTCTTTCTCAGACAAGAAAAGCTTTGAAAGAATTTGCTTTCAGAATAGGCAAAGAATTGTTATCAGTCTTTGATGGGAATCAAGGGAAACAAGAAGCAAATGAGCACAATGGACTCAACTTCACTCATTCCAATGATTTCTCTTTTCTGGATAATTCCAGTTAATGGTACAAATATGCTCTTCATGATTATAACTCAAACATTCATAACTTACTGCATAACACTGTGATCACAGTGCTTTTCTCTTAACATCTTGCTAACATTAGTCACTAAGAACGGGAAAACATATTGGATTCCCCAGGACA